GAAGGGGCAAATTCGCTCAGGATGTCAGCCAGTAGGTCTTAACTTCCAACCTCTTGGAGTATAGAAAGGTCTTTAAAAAGCAGATGGATATCTTTTCTCCTTACTGTTCTATGTCTAGGATAGTTTAGGAATCATTTTATTTCTCATTATGATCAGGAAACTCAAAATACAGAGAGATATAAAAAACACAAAAACCACTCATTATTTCTCAACTGAGAGAGAGAACTGTTAAACATTTGGATATGTTTTCTTCTAAGTTTTTCCCCCATGCATACATATGTATATTTTTAAACATTCTTGGGTCTTTGTATACTCTTGAGATTGAGATCAGGTAGAGTGGCAGGGGCCCAGAGAGGCTTGGGAAGGGGATTGGGTTAGACCAGTGGTCGGCAAACTCCTTAGTCAACAGAGCCAAGTATCAACAGTACAACGATTGAAATTTCTTTTAAGAGCCAAATTTTTTAAACTTAAACTATATAGGTAGATACATAGTTATTAATTTAATTAGGGTACTCCTAAGGCTTAGGAAGAGCCACCCTCAAGGGGCCAAAGAGCCGCATGTGCCTCGAGAGCCGCAGTTTGCCGACCACGGGTTAGATGATGTGGTATCAATTGTTCTGGTTCACCCAGCCCCCCGTGTGTGACTCCAATTTGAGAAAAGGTAAAAAGGTTGTTCGTGTGTGGGCTGAATACGTGGTCTACACATTGTTTTGCAGGTTTTCTTTTCCTCTAATTTGAGTTAGTTTGTTGAGTGGAGAGCCTGACCATCTTCCCTGAATGTTCAAGCAGTTTGGTGCCCTTTAGCCCTCTTTACTGAAGTAGTTAAATGTTGTACAGCCTTTGGAGTCTTCTGTCAAGGTATTCTGCCCAGGGCAGAGCTGAAATTGCATTGTTGCTAGGTTTGCTTTGCCAACGGTCTTTCAGCAGCTCTTCCTCACCTTAGAGATGACCTGATCAGGGCCATCAAGAAACTGAAGGCCCTTGGCACTGGCTTCGGCATCATCCCTGTCAGCGGCACTTACCTCATTCAATCTGTTCCAGCTGAGCTCAATATGGATCACACTGTGGTGCTGCAGCTGGCAGAGGTACTGCTGTGCCCTGTGTGTGTGTGTTGCATGGGAGGGAGGGGATCTGGAGCACCTTTGATCTCAATCACTCAAGTCTTTTTGCTGAAACTGTCTAATGGATGTACTACTCAGACCTGTGCTTATTTAGCAGACATTTATTGAGCAGTGACAGTGCAAAGCACTGGGCTAGGCTGTGGGCCATATAAAAATGGTACCACATGGTTCCTGCTCTCAAGGAGCTTACAGTCTAGTGGAGTAGACAGACATGCAGACAACTAACCATATTTCCTTGGGTAGACAGAGTCTTGGATGTCTTCTTAAAACTACATTATGGAGTCTTTAAAACAAATTTTTAAATCTTGTTTGCCATCCCCTGTTCCTCATCATGCCTTAAGCATAGGCCATCCTCCCCCAAGTCCTTATCATGTATTTAAGGAAGACATGTTCAGTCTTCTTAATTCCGTAATGTAGAACAAAACTAATAAGGGAGGGGCTTTTCTTGATTGGAGAACAGGTAGGGTGAGACAGGCAGGGGCTGAATATTTAAATATTTTAGGTTATCACCACTTTTTCCTATCACTTAGTCATTCTGAATCTTCCCTTGTCACACTAGAGTTCTCTGAGAAAGTAAAAATTAATATTTTAGTGCCAGGGACTCTACTTTTTAAGACTGAATCACTCAACCTACCCGTTACCTGAGTCACCCCTCCCTTCTCCTCCTCTCTCTGCTGGGACCTCTAAACATTCTTTTTCTATGCTCTTAGGCTTTCTGTGCCCACAGACAGTTCCTCTTCTTGTCTGGATAAGTCAGTTGTCCCTGGGCAAAGGCTGGGTTCTAAAAATTCCCATTCCTCCTCTTTTCAGAAAAATGGCTACGTGACTGTCAGTGATATCAAAGCCAGTCTTAAATGGGAGACAGAGCGAGCTCGGCATGTGCTGGTATGTGACTTTTGGAATGACCCAGAAAAGATGGGCCCCAAATGGGAGGAAGTGGGTGGTCAGGAACCACACAGATAGGAGTTTCAGCCCTGATCTGCTGGCCTCTTGCCTTGAAGGCTACTGCTGCCACACTGAAAGTAACCCCGACATTTCACTGAAGATGGCACTGAGAGGTAGAATGCATAAAGGCAGACTTCTAACCTTGACACATGTAAAACCGGGCTGCCACCACTACTAGAGGACCACCAACACCTGCTCTCTCCTGACCAGTAGAACGTGGCCAGATGGTTAATATAGTTTATACTGGAAGTAACAGTTCAGAGTGAAAGAAATTATTAACACTTATGATAATTACATACCTAAATTATATACTGTTGCATATATATCTATAATTATATACTGTTGCATATAGTTATAGTTTTATATATACAAATTTCATGGTACTAATGAAAGATTGATGTTGTGAAGAGGGAGTAAGCATGGAAATGTAGGCTTTTAATACCTTCTTTCTTATCCAGACAATTAACCTGTAGACACAACTTCACCTGTAATGTTAACATAGACATCTGTAAAGATAAACATACACATCTGTTTAATATTGGGCAGAACAAACTCATCTTGAGCCTATTTCCAGCTGTAGGAATTGAGTCCATTATAAATACTAATAATGAACTTGGATTAACTTCTCCAAAAAGGTTTACCCACGTTACCCAGTAAAGTAACTGAAAGATAGTGATCTCCATTTTGCTTCAGGGAATGGAGTCTGTGATTAGTTCAAGGCCATATGCAAGTACTTCTGTGGTTGTACCCACAGGTTAAGTGACTTGGTGGCATTTTTCACACCTCAAAGGTTGAGCCAAACAGATCATTACAGTTTAGTTGTGTAAATGTGTGAAGGCACTGTGTAGACTTAATCTGAAAACCCCATTGAAGCCAGAATAAGATTGGGGATTCTCTACTTTTGTTTGTGGGAACTCCCCTTTCTCAAATGATTCTTCCTTTTCCCTCCAGGAACACCTGCTGAAGGAAGGGCTGGCCTGGCTGGACCTGCAGGCCCCAGGCGAGGCCCACTACTGGCTGCCTGCTCTCTTCACTGACCTCTACTCCCAGGAGATTACAGCTGAGGAGGCCAAAGAAGCCCTCCCCTGACTCTGGGAATGTGGAAGGGGGCGCTCAGCAGCAGGCAGGGAGAAGAGGGAGGACCTGTGGGTGAACAAAACCTGGACAACTTTGTTTAAAAAAAAAAAAGAAAAGAAAAAAAAGCACACACAGAAAAAAATGTTCCAAGTTTTTTTCTTCCCCCAATATTCTTCACTCATTGTTTTATTTTATTTTTTAAAGTGCCTTCACATTGCATCTTTATTGGAGAAAACCTCATTTATCCAGTAAGGATAACCTGAGTAACAGAACAACGAGCACGTAAAATGACTTGCACAGGTCACTGACAAGTCCATGGTAGAGCTGGGCCTAGAATGAAGGCCATCTGTCTCCCGGCTAGACAGTCTAGTCTCTTTGTAGCCCTGAGACATAAATTACAGCCTCTGTTAATTCAAACTTACTCCTTATAAAATGTCTTTTTTTTTTTCTTTTATCTCAAATAAGATCCTAACCGACTAGTAAATTATATTCACTCTTCCAGCATCCTCTTGTAGAGGTTCCAGGTTATGAGACTCGGCTAGGAGTGTGAAGGAAATAGAGGTTAATGTTAAATGGTGGTTATAGGGAAGAAAACAATGGGATTTAAGGGGAACTGACTAATAGTGAATGTAATATTGTTTCTCAAATTCCCTACTAGCTTTTCCTCCTGGAGTGATCACTAGGTCCTTGTAGCCTTAGTTGTGGGAAAGGAAGTAATTTACTGAATCCCTACCCTGTGACCATTTCTATATACACCTCTTAATCCTCACTACCACCTTACAAAAGAAATAGGTATCCTTAACTTTGCAGGTAAGAAATCTAATTTGCCAGGGACCACCAGCTTAAGAAGCAAAGCCAAAACTAGAGCCCAGGCCCACTAACCTGAGCCCACCCGCAGGACACAGGCTGGCAGGACATCCTTCCTCCATGAATGGTCAGTGAACAGGAAAAGCCTCTGCACCAGAAAAGCAGGGGTGGCAATGAGCAGGAAGGCTAGTTCAGTTCTGTTTTCAGTCTGAATGCTAAACTCCTAGGGGCTGACTTAGTACAGAAAACAAAACCCAATGGATTATCCATACTAAGACACCCTTCCCTTAGTAGGGGATATAGCTTGTCCATCTTTACCTCTCTCTGTGCCTGTAGGACACACTCACTTTCCAGTTTCTGAATAGGTATCTTTGGAAGCAACTCAGACTCCAATGGCATTGCTCTCCTTCATTGGAGAGCTACAGCCTCGAAAAAAGACCCTATTTCCGGTTGGTGGAAGCTTTACCAGTAGTCCTGCTCCCATCCACATCATGCAACTCGTTTTTAGCTTCCAGACAATTCACTGAGCACTTACTTTCTGACCTAGGTGAGATGTTAGTTGTTAATATCCCATTCTTCCTTTACACACGCCCTCCCACACCCATAGGCGCTTCCTCCTTCTGCCAAACAAACTTTATTGCACCAAAAAGAAAAAAAAAACTTCATTTATGTACAGTCAGATATAAAGACATCTCTTTGACTCCTGTGCATATATTTCCTCAAGATTAGGGAGTAAAAGTCAGGCCAGTATGCCAGACATGCTCTGCCCATGGCAGGGCCAAGGAGAAGATTGTCACTTGAAGTGGGAACACTTAAATGGATGACAGACAACACTGGACCGACAGACCAAGGGCAATCTAAGCCCTGTACTAGCTCTGGGAATGGGAGAGGGAAATTGGAAGCAGGGTGCCTTTTTGAGTCTCCTTGTGGAAAGACCACCCTTTAGATATCCAAGATAAACTTCTGCTCTCCAGACCCACTTCCTGTCCAGTTTCTTTGCTTCCTGCCCCCCACAAGGACATTCTCCTTTGTGCCCAACCCCCTTCCCACCCACTTCCTGTCCAGTTTCTTTGCTTCCTGCCCCCCTCAAGTAGGACATTCTCCTTTGTGCCCAACCCCCTTCCAAACTCCCCCAGGGAAGTCCCATGATTCACAAGGCAGAGGCCTCCATAGCAGCTGGAAGAGCAAATACAAGTTACCCTCTCTCTTACATGTGGCTGGATACTGATTGGGGCCCTGTGTCAGGCGGGTCACCAATAACCCACTGGGAGCTGTAACAATAAGAATCTGGAAAGCACGGGGACAACCCCTCCAAAATGGGAAATACGGACTCCCTCGATGCCCAGTATCAGGGCACCTAAAGCACATTTTTCTGAGCCAACCAGCTAAAGGATCACTGCAGCTAAATACAGATAAGCAACACAGCCAGGCAAACACCCATCAGAGCCAGTGACAAACAGCAGCTGGGAGGGAGGGACAGGGAGAGAAGGGTAGGAGTCTCCAGAGTTCCACCCCCAATCTCCTCTGCCATTGGCTACCCTTGCTCCCCACTAGTCCCTGGGCCTTAATGTGAGGAAGGGGGACTATAGACTGGGGATGGGGGGAGCACACAAGGACAGCCAAACAAAATACAACAGGATTAGCATCAGCCTCCCCCCTCACCCCACCCAGGAGAAACACCCTCATTGTGACTAGTATTGATGAAAATCTGTAAGAGACTATTCTATATAGTGGCTCTATCATACATCCAGCAGCTGCCTGAAGTGGGAACTTTTCAAATCAATGATTTTGGGAATAAATAGTACTTTCAGCTTCCTATGGTACCTGTGCAGGCTTTACCAAGACTTTGGTTCAGTCCCATCACATTTACCTTCTGTCTTAAATCTAGAAATGGGTGAGGGGATGGGAGGAGAGAAAGGTGCTCAGGTGCTAAGTAAAACTCACTGATCAGCAGCCTAGATTCCACCACTGTTCCTTCTCTTTGGTCTGTCTAGAACAGTGACTATAAATTAGGAAAAACAAAATTATGCTGGCCCATGGGAAATAATGGGGGAAAAGAGGCAAGGAGAAAAAGGGCATTGGGAAGCCCTGCTTCAAGACTGAAGACAGACAGACAACCAACCACCCAGACGGCTTAAGTGTCACAGACAGCCCCCCACCCCAAGCTCCCTTCCAGATTCCCCATAAATCATTTGGGCACACTCCCTCTTGGAATTGCAATTTCTGTCTCCCAACTATCCCTAAGGAGCTGGCCCTTTGGAGAGGTGTGTCGGTTGTTTCGTTTTTGCCAGAGGCCCTCGCCCTAGGTGCTCCTGCATAGGTCCCTTGGCCCCTGATACGGGATGAACACAGCCCCAGATGCTCGAGAGCCAGGGAAGTCAGATCAGGAACAGCCTCCCCACTCCCACACCCTGGGAGATCCAAGTTTGCTTGGTTCTTGCCATCTTGCAGGATGACGTCACGCTGGAGGGAGATACACAGTGCCTCTCCATCCCTGGGGTGGGGGAAGGAACTTGCTGGGACTCTCAAGTGGGGGGAAGGGAGAAGGGAGCAGGATCTAAACCCTCAAGCTCCCATGCAGGTCTGTCTCTGTCCCAGACGAGCTGCTGTCAGAGTCCATTTCGGCGTTCTCATTATGGAGCCTCTCCAGCACTTTCTGACGAATCAGTCCCAGGCGCATCAAGAGGGACTGGTAGTCAAAGTGGCCCCGCTTCTCTCCAAAAGGGTCCTGTAGGGGAAAGGAGACAAGGGGGATGGAAGATGCAAGTCTGGGTGGCTCACCCTAGCGAGAGCAGCTTTGGGCCCATGTGAAACGCATGCTCAACTTCTGAATCACAGGAAGAGAGGAGGGCACAGCACAGACAGTTCTGAACAGCAGACAACATAATCTTTGTTCAGGAATATTATGGCACATATACTGCCCTAGACAGGTCTGGCTTTGGCCAACATTCAAGTGTGTTTGCATTCCTCAGAAACAAGCCAATATACAGAGGGGGACACTAAAGGCAACATAAATACAAGGGGGAAATTATCCTTCATTGCCTATAGAATAGGTCCTCGAATCACTCTGGTTCAACACTGATGTCTAGGAACTCAATTCTTCTTTATATCAATTATGGTAAACTTGGTTTTGTTATATGTTGTTTTGCTGCCGCTCCAAGAACTTAACAACATTAAGTGAGGACTTACTGTACTCAAAAAGGGTAATTTGTTTTCTAAGGTCACAGAGAGGTCTAGAACTTAGTTCTGACTTCTAAATAAGCACCTGTACTCTTTCCCAGGGACCAATCACCATATTCCTGTGCAGGTTTCTGGGCATCATGCCAGGGCCAACTAGCCTTGATCCTAGTCCTTGTCATTCTAGATCAAAGATCTCCAAACATTACACAGAAAGGGCTTAACTGTCCTTAAAGTCCAAAAATAAATACAGTTGGGATGAAGGATATAAAAAAAGGAATTAAGCCCTGGCCGGTTTGGCTCAGTGGATAGAGTGTTGACCTGTGGACTGACGGATCCCAGGTTCGATTCCAGTCAAGGGCATATGCCTGGGTTGTGGGCTCGATCCCCAGTAGGGGGCGTGCAGGAGGCAGCTGATCCATGATTCTCTCTCATCATGGATGTTTCTATCTCTCTCTCTCCCTCTCCCTTCCTCTCTGAAATCAATAAAAATATATTTTAAAAAAAGGAATTAAAACAAAACAAATAAACAAACAAAACAAAACAAAGAATTAAAAATGCTACATAAGGAAATGGCAGCCAAGTAGTGAGGCCAAGGCTCAAATAAATGGAGACTACTTTCCTTGGTGGTCACAAAAAGGCATATGATTTTTACTTCTCACAATCTGTCTGCTTCACCCACATAAACTCCTTCCACACTTATTCTGCCCACATATTACCCTCATGATTAGGGACAAGGTGACGCAAATCACAGTCACTGTGACCACAGTGCACATTTTACACTTATGAGGGTTACATTCCCCCCAAAGGCTGAAATCCACACTTACTCTGGAGCTATCAATTTTCCAAACCTTCTTCTTTTTTAAAAAAATATATTTTTATTGATTTCAGAGGGGAAGAGAGAGGGAGAGATGGAAACATCAATGATGAGAGAGAATCATTGATCTGCTGCCTCCTACATGTCCCCTACTGGGGGATCAAGCCCGCAACCCGGGCATGTGCCCTTGACTGGAATGGAACCCGGAACCCTTCAGTCCCCAGGCTAACGCTCTATCCACTAAGCCACGCCAGCGAGGCCAAATCTTCCCTTTTTCGTCATTGGCTCCATTTCTACCCACTGTCCTCCCCAGATGTTGCGCTCCCTTTCCTTCCCTCATCATGAGTTATTTTTCCTTAATAGACTGAATATTGGAAATGCTGCTGGGTACCAGCAATGAGAATTCCTGATGGGGAACAAACCACAGCATCCACCATCTTCAATATACTTTTTAAAATAAATATTTTTTTTTATTGATTTTAGAGAGACAGGAAGGGAGAGGGAGAGAGAGAGAGAAAAAACATCAATGAGAAAGAAACATTGATCGGCTGCCTCCTGCACGCCCCCTATTGGGGATCAACCTGGAAACCTGGGCATGTGCTCTGACCAGGAATCAGGGTTTGATATACTCTTGAGCTGGCCTTACCCTTTGAGTTTAAATGTGTCAGGTGGGTGTTAAGTCCTTGAAGGGAGGATAGGGAAACTAACATTTCTAAGCAGCACCTGAGGGAACAAGACATTTACTTCTGCTGGTGGTGCTGGGTGGGAAGTGGGAGGGAGTGGGGGAGGAGAAGAACCCAAGAAGAGCTGGAGAGAACCTTAAGAGGTCTTAGTCATTTACCCAACTCGCCATATTTCTAAGTAACCTCACCAGTAAGTGATCCAAAAGACTCAAGAACTAGTCCTTCAAGACTAAGGGTTCTCACACTCTACCAACCAGGCTGTTTATTTTAAAGCCTATTTGCAATTTCATTTCATAAGAACCTCTTTTTCTTTCTTTCTTTTTTAAAATTATTATTGATTTCAGAGAGTAAGGGAGAGGAAGAGCGAGATAGAAACATCAACGATGATGAGAATCATTGATCGACTGCCTCCTGCATAGCCCACATTGGGATAGAACCTGCAACTAGGGCATGTGCCCTGACCAGGATCGAACTGTAATCTCCTGGTTCATAGGTTGACCCTCAACCATGAGCCACACCGGCCAGACTAAGAATCTCTTCTTTAAAGAAGCCTTAAGTTCTGTACTCTTTTTTAAAAATATGTATTTTTATTGATTTTAGAAAGGCAGGGAGAGAGAAACATCAACGATGAGAAAGAATCATTAATCGGCTGCCTCCTGCACACCCCCTACTAGGGGTCAAGCCTGAAACCCAAGCATGTGCCCTTGACCAGAATCAAACCTAGGACCCTTCAGTCCGCAGGCGATGCTCTATCCACTGAGCCAAACCAGCTAGGACAAGTTCTATACTTATTGGAAGCTGAAGCACATTTCCCCAGTATATGCACAGAATGAATAATTGGTTACCATCTTGTAATAGGAATCTCAACATATAACACTATATACACAACTAGAGGCTCAATGCATGAAATTCATGCACCGGGGGCGGGGGGGGGGGGGGGGTATCCCCTCAGCCCAGCCTGCACCCTCTCCAATCTGGGACCCCTTAGGGGATGTCCAACTGCCGGTTTAGGCCCAATCCATGGCAGTTGGATATCCCTCTCACAATCCTGGACCGCTGGTTCCTAGTAGTTCACCTGCCTGCCTCACTGGTCGCCCCTACTGCCCCCACTTCCTGGTCTGATCGCCCCTCATTGCCCCCTGCTGCTGGCCAGGTTGCCCCCACTGGCCCCCTCCCTGCCTGCCTGATCGTCCCCAACTGCACCCCCCCCAACTGGCCTGGTCACCTCTTACTGCCCCCTTGCTGGCCTGGTCGCCCCATGCAGCCTGCTTGTTCAGCCGTTTGGTTGTCCCTCACTAACCCCCTGTGCCGGCCTGGTTGTAGGCAGCCATCTTGTGAGGGTGTGAGGGTTAATTTGCATACTACCACTTTATTATATAGGATGCTTCTCTAAGTCTTCTTTCTCTTAGCACCCCTCTGAGAGAGCTGAATGTTCTTGATTTGAAAAGACTACTGACCAAGAAGAAGAGTTCTAGGTAGAATGATTCAGTTCTGCTCATGAGTACCTAGTTTATGCCAGGAGCTTAGAACCAACTCCATATGGCTTTAGGCAAGTCAGGCTCCTCTCTGAGCCTCAGCTACTCAACTAAACTAGGTTCCTTTTGGCTCTGAGTTCTATGACAGGTGTGGATGTCACTCTAGAGGGGGGATTTTACATAGTCTGCTGGAAGGCCTCTGGAGTCAACAGCAGGGGCTGCATTACCTGCATAGTCTGGCCTTGAAGGTGCAGGCGATCTTTGCAGGCCACCTCATAGAAGTCGTAATACTCCAGGAAGGACTTCTCCATCACTCCTCTGGAAAACAAGCAGAGAAACTTAAGTTAGGAACAAGGGGGCAAGGGGTCACCCCTTCATTATCGAAGCTTAAGGCCAAATTAAACAGCTAGAGTTCCTAAGCCCATGGTTGATTTCTCTAAATCTTAAGGATTATAAAATGAGTAACTGTTAATACCAATCATTGGAATCCCAACTTCAACTCATGTCTTGCTCAATCTCATTTGTTTTCCATAGGCCATCCTTAATTCCAATCCTTACTTAACATTCTCCAAGGAAGTTTGTTTCATTACTCTTGACGTTATTCTTCTTGTTTTAACACTTAGAAATAAAGTTGGACATTAAGAAATACGTTTATTATGAAGTGCTCTACACCTCATTTGGCTGTAGAACAGTTATGTCTTTACTATGTCCAGATTCTCGAAACTGGGGGCTCCCTGAGGATATGGACTATATCTTTCCTATCAGGCCTGATAGTCTCCAAGAACAGACAATCTCTCTCTCTAAACTTCCTCTTGGGGAACCCTCATGAACCACATGTTTTTAAACCACTTGCTTCTTCTCTGTCTCCCTCTGGTGCCCAACACTGGATTTTGCCTCAAAAGTTCTCAAAGGTATGAACCAGCTAGATCTCCAAAAGGAATACAAGTTCCAAGTGGGATCTCGAGATACATACCGTAAGGGTTCAGGGCAGGGACACTTTCCTTCCATCATGTCACAGACCGCCACTCTGATGGTCTCATGCCGAATACACTCATTATAATTTTTGCTGTCTCCTGGATGTCTCTCCTATAACGTGACAGACACCATAGAATCCAAGTACACAGAATAAAGCCAATGGGAAGACTTCAGAATTAGTATGGAGCATGTGACCCAAGCAATTGAACAAGGGAATATCTTTTCACTGTATGGCAAACCCATTAAAGAGCAACTAGGCCTTCCTTTTTGAGACTGTTTACCTCCTCCCAATGCATACTAATACCCATCCTCTGTTACGAGTCATTTGATTTATAAGCACCAAACCAGATCCATCAAATTTCCCAAAGCCTGAAATGAAAGGCCTCTTAGGGAAGGATTGGTGAGAAAGAACCAATTATGCATAAATGACGTTAGGAGTCTCAGTCTAGAAAGCCTGTAAGATATCAGGGTGCTTCCTGGTCAACTCCTTTACACATCTGTACGGTTCTACCAGTACTGATTATATGTGAATTTTCCCCAGTAAATATAGTTAGTCCTCCTCATCTGCAGGTTTCACATCCGTGTATTCAACCAACAGCTGATCAAAAACAGTATCTTCACATCCCCAACCACGAATCAAAAATACCGTTTTCAATCCAGTTGGTTGAATAGATGGATGCAAAGGGCCCATCATAGTCAAAGTTATATGCGAATTTTCTTCCTTTTTTTTTAAATATTTTTATTGATTTCAGAGAGGAAGGGAGAGGGAGAGATAGAAACATCAATGATGAGAGAATATCATTAATCGGCTGCCTCCTGCACGCTCCCATAACCCTTGACCAGAACCGAACCCAGGACCCTTCAGTCTGCAGGCCGACATGCTATCCACTGAGCCAAACCAGGTAGGGCTGTACATGAATTTTCAACTGTGGATTGTTCAAGGGTCAACTCTCATTTCATAACTCCCAAAGAATGTCTGGCTTGGCAGCAGTCATTAGAGAACACCTCAAGGGGACACTGGAGAATGGAGGCATGCAGAAGAACACACTGGATAACACAGCCCCCAAAGCAGGCTCAGAATTAATTTCCAAATGATTCCACTGACCTCCACATGGTGGACTAATCCAAGTCAAATGGAAATAACTTGAGTGTTATTGTAACTTACAAGGGAAAAAATTCACTAATGAGGAGCACGCATTCCAGCTTTTTTTTCCTTCTAAAGTGACAAGTTTAATACATAGGCTAAGCCAGGTTAAAAACAACAATCCCAAAACCCTTAAATAGACCTCTCAGATCTCTTAAAACCCAACATTCCACACCCCAGAGCTGGACCCACCTGGCCTTACCTGCTCAAAGCCAGGCTCATTGTGATAGGGGTTCTCAGTCATCAGGGATTGGATGGAGATAAGCACAGAAGAGATGCTCTGGGCTGGGCTCCAGGCAGGGCCAGTCCATGTACTGCAAAATACATCAGAGGGAATGGAAGAGGGATGAGGCACAGAGAGAGGGGGAAAGACCAGTACACAAGTACCCTGGGGCCTAGCAGCAAAACCTTTCTCTTTCACTATTAATACTCTGGGATTTCCCAACCTCTGTCTCACCCTCATTCACAAGAAATCAGTCATCTGCCTAATCCTCTTATCAAGTGGGACAAAAGAAAAGAGGGTAAAGCAAGCAAGATAACTGTGAAGGGATTTTCTTTGGGTTAGGAGACAGTAGCTAGGGAAGGTTCTGTTAATCAGAATAAAAGAAATAAGGTGAGAAAAAGCTCCAAAGGGAGTCAAAATGTTAACTTCTGTGGATCTCAAAGAGCTTACTTATTTACTTATGGGTGTGATGGAGTCAGGAGAGAGAAGTTGAGCACAGAGGGACAGAGGGGACAAAGCCATCTGGTTAGAGGCCACATGGTGGGATTGATGATCAGGGATCCAGTTCTCTATCAAGCCCCCAAGGAGTGTCAAATTCTTGGAGGATTACAGAACTCTGCCAAAGGACATGAAGATAGAATAAGGGGGGCACTTCTAGATTGTGGAGGGTCTGAAAATATATGAAAAACAACTTGAATAGGAGAAAAACCACTCCTCTCTTTCATAAATCTGACCAAATATTCAGAGGAAGAGAGTGGGCTGGACATTAAAAATACTTATTTTTAGTAACTGATGAGAGGGCACCTGAGCCACAACTGCTTCTTCAAGTTAGCCGGTCAATTCTCTTTCCCCACTGGACTTGAGGAAAGCCCAAGTAAGCGATGTGAAACAGTAACTACATCAGAGTTTGCTCTTCAGTACCTCTCAATCTGTTCTTCTCAGCTTTGCTCCCCCCAAAACTGTAAACTTTGTGCTAAGGTGTCACATATTCAGGGATTCAAGTCAACATGGTACTTTCATTAAATTTCCTTTGTCAGTAAGTCAGCCCAGCATTTTTTTCTAGGTAGGGAGGAAAGAAATGATGCTAATAAAAGTGAATATAATCACCCAAGAACTCACGGGAAATTTCTACTTCAATTCTTTGTGGCAAATATTCAATTTCAGGGTAGCTTCTTCTTTTCCACCCAACATACTTCTGCCACTTTTACCCACCACCATCTTGCTTCCCCTATTTCTACTGTGAGCCAGTGTTTGCTCAAAATAGTTTTATATTGGCCTAATGAAGGAGAATTTAATACAAAACACTTTCATGAACAAACTTCATACAGAAGCAATAACTAAATTTCTTTACCACTGTGAGTTACACAGACCACTATCCTACCTGCAGACAATTATATACCCTAGTGAGATGAAGGACTTTCTTTAAGGACAACCTCCTTTACAGGACTTCCTTACTGTCACAATTATAGAATATACCCCTAGGTCTGAGAGATTAAAAAATATATATATATCATGTCTCCAGTTTGTGTCAGCTACCTTGTCCACACACAACCCTGGAAATTATTGGACAGGAAGAAAGAAAACAGTATCACCAGCACGGGTAACTTTCTCAACTGCAACCTGCACTTGCTCTCTGCCCCAGGGAAATTCAGACCACACTAAAAGGACCAAATTCAGAATATACTAGAAGATATTTCCATTCTGAATTTTCAACCCCTTAACGCAATTAAAAGGAATGGATGAGAACTACATGAAGCAAAATCTCAGTTGCACCCAGAAATGAAATGTACTTAAAACTTCTGTGTTTTGTATGTGATGTGATTTCCAACCTCAGGCATTTTTCACTCAGTTGTTAAAATATCATAATTATCACCACCATCATCACCGCCTCCAAAGCCACTCAATGAGAGACTCAGAAATAAGACACCCACAGTTTTGAATGGCACAGATCTGCAGCCTTTCTCAACCTGTTTGGGAGAGAATTAAGCCCTGATGCCCTATGGGAGTGGTTCTCAAACAGGAGTGTGCACCAGAATCACCTGGAGGACTTACAAGACACAGACTGTTGGGCCCCAGTCCTAGAGTTTCTGATATAGTAAGTCTGGGGGGGCGGGGGGGAGCCCAGAATCTGTAAGGCTACAAGTTCCCAGATGCTGGTGCTGCTCAGGGAGAACCACTTCACTAAGGCATCCACTGTAGGTAATGAATCAACTTCTCTCTTTTGCATCTGGAACGATACTAGTTATGGACCATCCTGGGGAGAATCGAGGAAATAGTCACTCCAATTATTTTCTGTGTTCTGTAGTTCAGATGAGAAACTCCGGTTGATAAAGGCTGGCCTAGAGTAATTATTTGCTAACAACCAACTTGGCCACTTAGAAGTCTCCTCTTACCCTAGAATACTCAAGCAGACTTTCCCATTGCGGTAGAAGTTGGGGTTAAACCTCACTGTGTTATTGCCCGTTGTCATCAGTTTGACCCGAGGAGGGTGGATGGGATAGTCGGGCGGACACCGAAACACGAACAGGAAGAAACCCCCTTCATAAGGAGTGTCAAATGGGCCTGTGATCAATGCATGAATCTGCAAAATAAAACCCCATCTCAAAATTGTGAGGTGATGTCCCGTCCCAACCCCTCCTGGCTTCCACTTGCTACCCGTGCTGGAAGCAGGACCTTCCTCTGGTATCCACAGTCCATATCCTCTCCATGCAGAATGAACAGCCTGTACTCACTCATATTAATAAACATGTTTGGCCCAGTGGAGTGGCATCTTACTCAGGGGTTACATTCTAAAGGTAGAGCCTAAGGTGAAAAGTCAATCTTGTCAAAATCATCCTCACTTAAAGCCTATTTTTTTGCTCGAACTTCTCTGACCAGTGTTATGTATAGCAAATGGATAGAACACCAATGTGCAAAATATAATATGCATCTGTAAAGTATTATCCTAACCTGTTTAATTTTAAGAAATATGTATTTTTTCCTGAATACGTATGTGTGGGTTTGTCCAAGTTTAACATGCGTATGATGCAACTCCACCCTCCATTTATGTGGCACAAAGGGGAAGTAAGATGAATGGAAAAGAGGAAAGGGATTGGAAGCCACAGCACCGGTGCCAGTGACAGTACAGAGCTGAGGGTTGTGATGGAGGCCCAGGGTGTCTACTTCCTCTACAGAGGACCAAACCTACTGCAGAGGATGTGTCTCAGGGAGCATCCAGCTGTGTCAAAGGTACTAAGAAAAATCGGGAAAACTTCATGGTCTACTCAGAGCCATTAGACCATCCTAAAACTTTCCCCAGCACTGTAGGTTAATTTTCTTAAAAATTAAAAAAGAAAAAATGCAGTAGCACTTAAAACAGAACACTAAATTCTCTTCCTCCAGCCATGATTATTGAACAAGATTTCCCTCATCTGAACTCAGTTATATTTCTTCTTCTACAAGGTTCCTAGGCATGTAAGTCTACTCAGAATTCGAACAGCAAGAAGGACCTACAATCCAGCGCTTCAGTGTGTAGCCCCTGCCTTGCTCTGGCGGCACCCTAGGTTTTCTTTCAGCCTCAGTCACTGGAATAGCAAGCTCAACTGGCATCAACATGGCACCGATTCTGGGAATCGAGGGACTAGCATGTTAATACTGATACTTGACCGAGGACAAGATGTCCCAGGAAAAACATTTTTAACCACAAAAAAATTTTTGATTGAAAGAGAAACCTATTCATAACAGATACCAACAATACAAAATCTGAATCTACTGTTAAGAAATTTGAAACTATGAGTTTTCATTAAACACAAGATTTAGGAAATCTGATTTCTTCCCAACATCAGCTTAAGTGCAAATTCACTTCTGAGGGTAGAACACTTGATGACAGAGAAGCCTGTGTATCTATGCCAGAGAAATTTGACATTACATACTAAGCTTTCTCTGTTTTGTGTGTGAAGGACAAGAGAAGAAAGGTATTTGGGTGGAAGGGATACTCAAAAGCAACCAGTAGGGATAGTTGCCTAAACAATGCCTTTTAACTACAAACACTGTTCACTTGAGCTTGCCCTATCCCCAACCCTCTCTGCACCTGATTTATAGCAGCACACTTAAAGGTCACGAGTGGTGGGATGGGAGAAGAGTTGGGTAGTACAATGGTAGGGTGACCACATAATTTATTGTCCAAACTGAAGCACTTCTGAGAATGAAAGAGTGCCCTATTAATAGCTAAGCTGGAACAATAGGTGTAAACTGGGATTTTCCAAGCCAAGCAGGACCTATTGGCACCCTAATAAGATACCTGTTCCAGGCTTTGTTCCACCTCACTGTGTAATCTTGGGCAAGCCATTTACTCTCTTGGGGGCTTGATTCCTTCTGTATGCAATCAGAGATGTGAGCTGGATAACCTCTTAGACTCTTCCAACTTTATGGGCCCAATTTCCCAATATATCCCGACTCCCAGCAAGTTACATACCTTAGTCATGTCAACAGTGTCAGGTACAACGAACATTCCCGGAGGAGGCTCCTTATAAATGGACATGATATCCCTGTATAACACCAAGAGGAGGCAGGGGAGGGAGTGAGGGAGAGGAGAAAAAAGGGGAATCCCTTGAACAGGACAGTTGTTATCACCTCAATGAGGCCAGGGTTCGAGAAAGTGGTGCTTGGTACCACAAATGTTTGCACTGTCTTGTTGGCTGAGAAATCTCAGCTGAGTACTTGTCAGGCAGACAGAGAGCAAATTATTATCAAAGGGGCATTGTTTCCTCAGGGGAAGGATAAGGAGAGGGGGGAAAAAAATCAGAGATCCCCATGGCATCAGATGTCACCCTGGAAAAGCCACATCCCATTTACTCTCACTTCCTCCCACATGGCAGTTCATTCACTCCCACCCCCGAGATTCTCAGGTACTACAGCAGAATCCTAAATGAAAACTTTTTTCAGTTAACTGGGAAGGCACCATCAACCCCACTAAAAAATGAATTCCATAAGCCATTGTGGACCTTTGTTGGCAAGTGAACTAGCAGGGAGCAATGATCTTGCCCAGGAGACTAATGGGGCTGAAATCGCTTCAGGCTGGGGAGGGGACCCTCCGAAATTGCTGAGAATCTCACATCTGGAAGATGACAAGCAGTGACTACTATAGAATGGAGAGGATTTCTAGGCCCTATCTCACAAACTAGAATGCATCAGTTGCAAGCAAGGGTCTCATGGGGAACATTCTAGGTGGAGAAGGGCTAGGGACTTACCAGGGGACACAGGGACATAAAAAAGTGCAAGTAGAGCAGAGAAAAATAAGTATTGGCAGAATTCAAGGTATGTCAGGATTGGAAAACTGTGCCCTGTGTCGCACACTGTGCCAGGTACTTTATTATACACAATGTACTCTTTAATTTCCACTAAAATCTTGAAAGGTAGGTAGAGATACATGTGAAGGGACTTGGAAAGCGGGGGATGAGAACACCTCGATGGACTGTAAGGGGAGCATGGGGAGAGAGAGTCTGGTCATCAGCAACCAAGGTTCAGGATTAACAGCAGCTGAAAAGCAGTGCCCTTCTCCTATGCAATAGGAACTATGCTAAGCATGTTTGCAAAATATTACCAACTAAATGATATGATCAAGATCAGTCACCCAAGAAGCAAGCACAGAAGGGGAGTGGGACCTTGTTCCTATATTTGAATTGGGTACGTCTACTTCAGAAAAGTAAACCATAATCCATAGGAAATCCATAATCATCATCCATAGATAACCCATAGGAAAAAATACTACAGGGAAGAAATATCTTGACCGGGATATTACATGCCAGAGTGAGATGGGGGGAGGAAGCCCGAGTTCCTGGAACAGGTGTGAGAGTGGAGGGGTCCAGGGAAGACTGTGGGCATGTGCGGGAAGCGATCTAGCCTTGGGAAGGGACGCTAGGGAGGGGGTTTGAGGAAACAGGGAATAAAAACAAAGGCTGGTCTCGGGTCTGAGGCCAAGAAAGCAAGCGATGTGTATGTGTGTGTGTGTGTGTGTGTGTTACAAACGGGGCTCGGGAAGAGCCGACCGAGGGACCCCGAGGGGGGAGCTCCAAGGA